TGGATGGAAGGTGGGGTGGGGTGAGACAGGGCCATGTGCCCCAATGGGGCGGGGGGCACCGTGCCTCCAGGGATGAAGCCCTTACTACAGGATCAAAGGTGGAGCTAGCTTGATTTCAGCTCCCCTTTCCTCCTCTTCCTCTGGCTTGGCCTGGGGTTAGCTGCCCAGCCCTTTTCAGAAATCAAACCCTGGAAGTGGGGGGAAGGGGTCCAGCTAGCGGCTCTCCCTTCCACTAACCTGTGGGCTCAAATCCAGGCTGGCAAGAAAGGGAGGCTCAGCTGAAATTAACCAACCCCAGCCGTGCACAGAGCGCCCTTCCCAATGAGCAGAGGGCTGCAGTTTCCTTCCCAATGAGAAGAGGGCGCCCTCCTGACGAGGACGGTGTACTGTTGTAGTTGCTTCTGGCGTGCAATAAAATGTAGTAAGAGCATGGAATGGATTTTATTAACACAATTGAGCTGCTTGTGAATGCTTTTGTGAGTGAGTGAGTGTGTATGTGTGTGTGGTGACTTCCTGCTATGTGGAGTTAGCAACACAAATGTCTGAGGCCTTTCAGGAAATAGTTATACTGGAACCAGTTGCTGGTGAGAATTCTTTTATAAAAGCCACTCTTCACGGATACCGTAGCTATTCCAAGCCCGAAGGCATTCCTTTCGGGAGAGGAAATGAACTGCAGGATGGCTTGTTTGACCAGAGTCCAGTTGCTTTGGGATGAGGGACCAGAGATTTTCTCCTGTCTTTCTGACACTGCTGAGGAGGATGTGGAGGAGAGGAAGCGAATGTTTGTTCCTTCAGACAGAGGCATGCAAGGCAGGGATGCCAACCTGGCTCCCTGGGATTGCTGAGGGAGATTATGAGGAAGATTAAAAACTCTAATATGGGAGCACTACAAATCTGGCAGCTGCACCATTTAAGCCCCTTTCTAAAAATCGTGATAAATTTTGCCACTCTATCCCCTGCCTCAGGAAAGCATTACATCCTGGAGAATTATGTTCTGTTTACATTCTGTAAACAAGGAAGAAGAGCATCTCGGTGGACAAAGTGCAGCTTTGTGACCGTAAATTGTATTCTGCTCTCCCTTTAACAGGCAAATAAATATCGGCTGCTCTCCACACAGTATTTACTGAGCAGCAGAAATAGATTGATGTGTAGAAAATTGCTAGATGGTGAAGTAATCCAGCAAGCAATATGCCCAGGGGATGCAGAGTGAACGTCCTCCCTTCTTATGTCCTCTCACCTAGGACCCCTACAAGGCCATTTGCAACAAGGAGGCAGAAACAGAGCATACAATAGCTCCTAGAACCCCCCCATGCACTTCCAGGTAGGCTACAGGTTTCTTTCCGTCTCCCACCCTTCCCTCACCAACTTTTGGAGCAGGAGTTAACTGCTGAGCTGAAATGCCAGAGTGCAGAGCTTTACCTTCTTTGGTGTTGACATATCAGTGACCAATTTTTAAAGGGAGAAGAAAATGTCTCCAATATCCAAGACTCTTTTACCTGACGCTCATGATGTTGCCTTCAGGATGTTTCTGCAAATATGCCTTCACGACCCAGGCTGTGTGCTCCCGGTAGGTCATGACGCGGCTGAGGAGCAAGCAGAGAAAGGGGAAACTTTTTGGAAGGAAGACAGAGGAAATCTGAGGAGGCACAGTGAGCACCTCCAATATCTGCAGCCGGAACTCTGCAGCGGGGGACCTTCTGAGTCCTGCTGGCTGAAATCACAGAGGTGAAGAAAAGGGCCACTCCTTCTCACACTAATGATGCAGGACATGATCCTTGTCACTAGGCAGGCAAGCACCACAGAGCTGTGAGTCAGCTGAGACAATCCCTGAACCAACAGGCTTACAGCAAGGTTGCTGAAGTGGGACAATATTAACGAACGGGACTGGGCACACATGTACTATAACGAAGGCTATAAAGGGCTCACTGAAACATTACAAATTCTTTCAATGTCACATTCTAGTTACTGAAGCCAGTGTGACAGCTGGTAAGTGCACTGCGAACGTGGAGCCTTTACGACAAGAGACCAGTAAGACTCAGGGAGGAGACCATTTGCCAGTCAGGGGGACTGCAGTGGGCTAAAGGGAATGCTGCAGTTAGTTACCATTCACTCAGAGCCATCCTCCTGTCATAGACACGGATGGAGCCATCACCGAGCCCTGCCACAATCAACGAGCGGTGAGAGTCACACGACAGGCTGGTCACACAGCTGTCAGCTCCTGTGGGGATATCCTAGGGACAAAGCACACACACAAACCAGGCTGAAAGAGTAAAGAGCCTCCGAAGTCCACAGCCCAAAATAGGAAACATTGGGTACATCTACACAGCAATAAAAAACCCGTGGCACCGAGTCTCAGAGCACAGGTCCAACAACTTGGGCTCGCGGGGCTCAGGCTGTGGGACTACAAATTGCAGCAGAGATGTTTGGGCTGAGGCTGGTGCCCAGGGTCTGAGACCCACCCCTCTCAGATGTCTACACTTCAATTTTCAGCCCTGCAGCCCGAGCCCCATTAGCCCGAGTCAGCTGACCTGAGCCAACCATGGCCATGCTGCGGGTCTTTTATTGCAGTGTAGATGTACCCATTAGGTACCTTCAAAAGGGCCTTCTGCTGGACACAGGCTCGCCTACGTGTTTCAAGGAATCTCCTCTCTCCTTTACCCGGATCACAACCCAATTTAAACTGTGATTTTCCACATTCTCCCCTCCCCTGTAAGGTTATGAACCCTGCAGTTCTGCGCTCACCTGGGGGCAGAACTGAACCTCCAGCTGGGACAAAAGGAATACGTCTACACAGCATTTCAGAAGGAGCCTCTGAGCTCAGGACTTGGGGCTGGCGCTTTAAAAGCTGCTGTGTAGACAGCACTTGGAAGTTATGGCTCGGGCTGGAGCTCAGGTTCTGAAGCCTAGGGAAGGGGGTGGGCTTCAGAACCAGAGTAACAACTTCAAAGAGCTGTCACACCGCTATTTTTAGAGCGCTCGCGCAAGCCCTGCTAACTCAAGTCTGCAGACCCGGGCTAAGAGGCTCGCTCCAAAATGCTGTGTAGACATACCCAGGGATGGCTAGCTTTCTGCCAGGCTGTTGTCAAGGCAATTACAGGAATCAGTGAGCGGTGAGTATGGGGTCACTGAATCAGGACAGTCCCTGCAGCCTGAATGAGTCACTGCCCTAATCCTCAGAGCTCAGCCTGGGCAGGGAGACACAAACGTGGGTTTCCTTTGTGGCAGCACAAAGAGCGCTGTTCAAAGATCAGCTTTTGGGAATAATTAAACTTTACACACCAAAATAAAGGAGAAAGTCCATTTCAGAAAGGAAGAATCATTGTTATTCTTCTCCTAAAAACACCTAATTAGTTAAGATAAATGTCTGCAAGGAATTCTTTCCATAAACCATCTTCAGCTTCTGTTGGTTGTAAATGCTGCTAGAAAGGCAGGGGGGATAATAAAAAAGCAGGAGGAGATGAGCCACTGAAGAGACACACACTTGCTGAAAATAAATAGCTTGCAGCTAAGTCAGACATGTAAAAAAGAAAACAAACCTACATGAAAAGGGGAGATACAGCACTTGTTATAGGCAGCAGCCTCTCCTTAAACTCCTGGTAAAGGAACGGACCTGCAGAGTCATAACTCTCTGCACCAAACCAACACACAGACAAATCTTGCGAGGCAGTTTGAACGTGCCTCTGAGAAAGGAGTAACAAACTTGTAGAGGACTGAAAGGCAGTAGGATACTGGATCTGATCAAAGAATAGATCTGTTAAGAGGGAGCCATTCCCATGCATCAAACCAAAATCTATTTCCTGGAAGAGGCGTTACCTTGGCAATGGTAACAGACCTGTTAAGAAAAGCTTTGGTACAACAGGAGGCCTTTTCATTTCACAGGTTTCTACTGTATATCATAATATATACCAGGGGTCGGCAACCTTTGGGAAGTGGTGTGCCAAGTCTTCATTAATTTAAGGTTTCGCGTGCCGCCTTTGGCACGCGTGCCGCAGGTTGCCAACCCCTGATATATACCATGGGAGCACTTAATCTGCCATTAGCTCTGAAACCCTCTTTGTCCTCTGGAAAGAATAAAATCATTTTGCCAGAAAATGTCTCCCATTAGTCATAATTAGAGTCATTCTGGGTAATAACAGCCATTCTGTTTTGTCATTTCCATTTTTACTGTATCAGTGTTTTGGCACTCTCTTACACCTCTCATCAGTAGATCGCAACACCCTTTACAACCCCCCCTGTAAGGCGGGGAATTATCACTCCCATTTTACAGATGGTTAAGTTAAGGCATCGTGTCATTAAGTGACTTGCTGTTTACAGTGTTGTTGTAGAAATGTTGGTCCCATGATATTAGCGAGAAAAGGTGGAATTTAAATTCCAGTTTGTGTGAGAGTATCTGATGATTTCTTGTCTCATTAAGTGACTTGTGTATGAGAACAGAGTGCAACAGTGCCAAGCCATGCCTAGAACCCAGCAGTCCTCTCTCCCACTTCCCTGAACTAGGATAAAACAGTTTGTACTTTCGGGGTATCATCAGAAGCCAGAGACTGCAAACATTTTTAAAAGTATTGATTTGGAGAATAAGAATGTAACGCACCAGGATACTGGTGAAATACACCCTGCACTATTATTCTAATGTTGTAGCTTTGCCCTCTTTATCTGCTACAAACAAAAGAATCAGTCGAAATAATAGGTGTACAACTGGGAAGAAGAATTAAACAGCTAAAACTGAGTAACATTTTCAAGCCAGGGTAACAATCGAAGAGGCACTTGGGAATTGCATTAGCTAATTTCACACCCGAATCCTGGTTTTGTTCCTGTGTGCATTCACCTTCTCTAGCTGTCATTTGCAGCCTTTGCTGAACTAACTGTTTGCTGGAGACACCTAACTTTGGGGGCTGTTTTTACATGCTTATTCTAACGCCATAAGATCCACGTCTGGATTTTATTCTCTGTGCCAGGAACATGCAGCTAGTGTGGAAAGAAAGTACTTGCTCCGCCACTATATGCAACGTGCCCCCAAAGGTATTCTCGCAGCGGTTCAAAGGGTGGGACGGCATCTTTATTAGCTTGGATTACATGGCTCCCCTGCTCTCGCTGCTGAATCTCAGCTTTGTAGAGCGACTGAGGAAGTTTTGATCGTCAGGATCTCCACAAAACCAATTTGCACAAAAAAACAACCACCGCTTTTAGATACTCTCAATACAATCATTAACGATTCTAATTTAAAATATTTTCACCCTACTGATTTCTGATGTTCTCTAATTTACACAGATAAAATAATGTTTGAAAATAATTAAGATTAGCATAGGCTTAATTATGCTGCATTGCAGGGTCAGAAGTGTCATAATTAATGTGCATCGAGAGGTAATTAATCTCTAAAAGCTTTGGAGACTCGTTTTCATTTCCCCTGCATGGCGACTTTATTCTTGCAGACCTGCTGCTTCTCCTTACATACCTAAACATCATTTGAATTGGCTCACGGCTGCCATGCAAGCGGACAGGTTTTGTCCTCATTTATTTTAAATGGAAATGTATGTGCTTTGGTGCAGGAGCGTTTTAAAGGTGGGAAGCATTTGACGGTTATGAAAGTAATGGTAAGTCTTGGAGTCCTGAAAGGCAAATTCAGCAGCGCCCCAGAGATCTGAAAGGAAACTGTCTAAGACAGTGGTTCTCAACCTTCCCAGACGACTGCACCCCTTTCAGGAGTCTGCTTTGTCTTGCATACCCCAAGTTTCACCTCACTTAAAAACTCTCCGGCTGCCCAGCTCTGACGACAGGACCACTGCCAGCAACAGCGCAGAAGTAAGAATGGCAATACCATACCGTGCCACCCTTCTGAGCTGCTGCTGGTGGCGGTGCTGCCTTCAGACCAGGGCAGCTGGAGAGTGGTGGCTGCTGGCTGGAGTGTTCATGTTGTTTGTGGTGCGGGAGGACTATTGTTTAAACCCTGCTCCCATCACGCTCTGTAATACTCACTCCCACATTGTTTGTGGAATTTTTATCCCTCTCCTGCTGTTATGGCAGTGCGTCTTGCAGCACCGCGGGATCCCAGTCCTGCTGGAGGGCTCTAGTGCCTGTTGTAAAACTTGGCAAATAAAATGAGTTGACGTACCCCCTGGAAGACCTTTGCGTACCCCCAGTGGGACACGTACCCCTGGCTGAGAACCACTGGTCTAAGAGATGGTTGATGCTGTGCAGCCATTTGCAGAAGCAGTGGGCACGTCTGTGGCCACACAGTACTGGGCCGGATTCTGATCTCAGTCATACTGGTTTAAGTCAGTAACTCCATTGACTTTACTTGACTGGTGTGAGATCAGATAATGTCGCAGATGGATGTCATCCTAAGCATTCAAGCCCTGGTCCAGAGAAGAGCCACGAGAATGATTAAAGGATTAGAAAACCTGCCTTAGAGTGACAAACTCAAAGGGCTCAATCTGTTTGGCTGAAAATAAGGTGTAACGGTGAAAGTAAATAACCAACGGAACAGTTCACCAAGAGTCACGGTGGATTCTCTATTGCTGACAATTTTTAAAATCAAGACTGGATATTTTTCTAAAAAAGATTTATTTTGGGGACCTTCTGCGGCCTGTGTTACACAGGAGTTCAGACTAGATCAGTGGTTCTCAAACTGTGGGTCGGGGCCCCAAAGTGGGTCGGGACCCCATTTTAATGGGGTCGCCAAGGGCTGGCATTAGCCTTGCTGGGGCCCAGGGCTGAAGCCCAAGCCCCACTGCCCGGGGCCAAAGCCCAAGGGCTTCAGTCCCGAGTGTGGGGGTAGCTCAGATTACAGACCCCCGCCCCCGCCTGGGGCTGAAGGCCTTGGGATTTGGCTTTGGCCGCCTTGCCAAGAGTGGTGGGGCTCTGGCTTTGGCCCTGGCCCCCCTGCTGGCGTCGCGTAGCAATTTTTGTTGTTAGAAGGGGGTCGTGGGGCAAAAAAGTTTGAGGACCCCTGGACTAGATGATCAAAGGGGTACCTTCGGGCCTTGGAATCCATGAAAGCACTTCAGTGCATGCGTAAGTACCTTTCTGAATAAAGATGCTTTCCTGAATCGGGCCTCGGATGGCAGGTGGGAAGGAAAATGACAGTGTTTTAAGGATTAGCCCTGTATAATGTCAAGAGAATTCTAGGAGCTGAAGCTACAGAGTCTGAGAGGTGCTTGACCCTCTCCATCACGGCACTTTACCCTCTCAAGGTGTTTTATAGCACGACTATACTGTAACCGGGAGACCATATCCTATACCTGGCCTCCCATTCGTGACTGCCTGCTCTCCTCCTCTCCCAAATGCAATTGCATAACATTCAGCTTCAGCAATTTCCTACAGGGAAAGCACGGTAATGTTAGGAGAGTATTAGAGTATTTTTAGCTGTCTCATAATGGGACTTTGCAGCTGGAAAAGGGGAGAGCCAGCATCATGTGACAAGTCTGCTCTCTGGAGACCACAGTTTGAGAACCTGTGAACTGTGTTTGTTAAATCGCTGGATGATGTGTGTCCTGGAAATATGCTCCCTGGTGCCTAAGTCCAGGGAGTCAGCTAGGAGACCTGTAAGCTCCACTAGCAGTGAACGAGTTAAAGGGGCAAACATGCAGCTGTTACCTGTACTTTCATTTCTCGATCTGTGTCCCAGATCCGGATAATCCGCACATCTCCTGATGTCATGAGAAGCCCAGTCTCTTGTTCCCAGTCCACCACCATCCCTGCTCCTAGAAAAAACACAGGACATGGAAATTATTCTTCACATAAACACAAGCAGAGCTTGACAGAGCCAAAGACCGAGTTTTGTGATCTGACACTTTTTAGTATAGCGAGGAGAATCTTAAAATCACACACACACTCACTCAAAACTGGGCCAAACCAGCTGTTCCTGAGTTCTAAACGACGCCCCTCAATCATTGGACTAGGTGTGCTATGGAAGACACTTGCTCCCCCTCGAGCTGGAAGGGGAATCTCTCTGCTCAGCAAAGTCCCCTTCTGGCAGACGCTCCAAAAGGTCCAGATGGCCTCTACAGGAAAATGGAATCAGCCCTCTGCAGGACGATGGATCCATAAATTATTCATCACCTTGTAAAAATACTAGGCTAAAGATAGTCTTGAGTAGACTGGACTGGCGTGAGTTAAGGCACCCAGCATGGCCAAAGCACTGCTTTCAAAGGACTACGGACTCCATGGATTGCCATGATTTCTTATCCCCACTCAAATCGAAATATTGGCTGTGATTAAGAGGACATTTTTACACACGGAATTGTGAAGCTGTGGAATTTGCTGCTGCAAGATATTGAGTTAAATAGCTCAGTAAGACTCAAAAAAAAAAAGTAGTGTGTTTGGATAAGGAGAACATTCTGCAGTTACACTAGCTAGAATACATGTACAAGGGTTCTCAATCCTCATGCTTCAGGGCATAAACTGATTGCCAGCAGGGGTCTAGCAGAAATTTCCTTCCATGGTACTGGAGCATTACAAGGGCTTTACCTTATCCTGAAGCATCTGATACGGACCCCTACTACAGAGAGGTTGGCCGACTACACGTACTAGTGATCTTTGCTGGTATGGCAATTTCTAGTCAACAAATGACTGGCTTTCACCCCTTCTCCCATTGAGAGGATTAAGTGGTAAAAACCATAGAGAGAGTCAACAGTGCATAAGTACACAGCATACTAATGTCAAAGCTAGGTAGCTACTTTGGACTTGGGAAATAGCAGGCTCTGCAAACTCCTAATTGGTGGGGTAATCTCCAAGGAAGAATTCCAATACATTTAATTAGAATGGTCTTTACACTAGCTACAAGCTGCCAGCATAGTGCCTAAACGTTCTGCTTTAAGCAGAAAGCCATATACCAATTACCTTTTGCTTCCTCTGCTGGGAGACTGACTGACCCTGGATCTGTGGGTTTCCCAGAGAGATTTCTATACATACGAACATACAGAGATGAAAAAAAAAATCCCAGGGCAAGGAAACCTGAAATGAATTTCATTGCACAGATGTTTGCATTCTCCTACATGCACAAGTTCTCTTTTATACAAACCAAGATCGAATCTAGTGTCTCCTCTCTTTGCACTGGTGCTCTCATAGTACAGATTAGAACATGGTGCCAAACATATTACAGCAGAAGACTCACAAGGGTCAGACACTAACCCTGTAATAGATTAGGATTGCAGCCTCATTTCTCTTGCTTCCATCCGGACCTTTTGTGAAAGATTCTAACGCTAGAAAGACCCCAAAGAGACACACGGAGGTGCCTTCTCAAAAAGGGATTCAGTGCGGATTTTTCTTATCTTGCTCTTCAAAATTAGCACTAGCAGGAACTTAAATACCTTGCAATGCTCTGGTTGCCATTAGAGGCCCACCGACACCATTTAGCAAAGCAAACATCCACCACAAGGAAAGAGGTCGGCTGCCAGAATTGGACAGGGCACGAAGCACAGAAGTTGAAGCACTCATGAATAGTAAGCTGCTTTGAGGACAGTGGGATGACAGTGTTTTGTGCAGATGCAGACCTAATTTGCTACCTACTTCCCCTCCTGGAAAAGCACAACCGAGCCCTCTCCTGATCTCACCTCATATTGCAGGATCAGAAGACACTGACATTGATGGGCTCATCTTATTACAGGAAATTCAGGACCCACAGCTAAGCTGACAGCTCATATCTTTATCTTGTGAGTTACTTTGGATTGCCCAGCTGCTCTGAGGGCTGCTAGACATCCCAAGCAAACAAGCAGGCAGTGGTTTAGCTTATAAGCAACCCCAAAGTGTTTTCATTTGTCATCTTGTTTATGGTCCAGGTGACAAGATAAACCTGGCAGGCCTGAGATGGATACGGCCATTACATCACTGATGGAGTTAAATAGGCAAGGCTCTGCTAGGCAGTTTTAAAGCTCCCAAATTTCCATTCATGTTCCCCAGTTTGAAGACCATTATCTTCTTCAGTTTGATCAGCAGCAATAATCCCTAAACCAGCTGGAACCTGCAGATTTTACTCCACTGGGAGGGATAAGAAGTCGTAGGATTTTGGCTGGCATTGTTGGTGCCAATTATTAATAAGCTTGTTCTGGGGTAGCCATGGGGAATTTGTTCTTTTTATAGTCACTGGGATCTTCAGGAGGGTAAGGGGAAAATTTTGTTTCTTACAAAGGTGGAGGTTTCTCATCATGAGAGATTTCACAAGTTGGAAAGACAGAATTCACACCAAAGAAGGGTGCCGTGAGAGATTCCACTTCTGGAGAGGAAGAGGGATGGAATTTAATTTTGAAGAGGATGCTTCACATATGTAGGAGTCCCCTCCAGCTGGGGGAACATGTGGAGAGACTGCATCTTGCAGAAGGGACTTCCCTTTCTTCAGTGCCCAACAAAACTAAAGTTCAAATTGGAGAAAGGTGTGTAGGAATGGGTGGACCGACTTACAGAGTCATAGATTCTAAGGCCAGAGGAAACGTGATCATCTAGTCTGAATTCTTTTATAACGCAGGACAGAGAACGTCCCCAAAATAATTCTTAGATTCTCAGAAAAACATCCAATCTTGATTTAAAAATGGTCAGCGATGGAGGATTCACCACAGCCCGTGGTAAATTGTTCCAATGGTTATTTATCCTCACTGTTAAAAAATTAAACCTTATTTCCAGTCTGAATTTGTCTAGCTTCGGCTTCCAGCCATCGGATTGTGTTATACCTTTCTCAGCCCATGATCAAATATTTGTTCCCCATGTAGGTACTTATAGACTGTAATCAAGTCACCCGTTAACTTTCTCTTTGTTAAGCTAAATAGATTGAGTTCCTTGAGTCTACCACTCTCAGGCAGGTTTTCCAATCCTTTAATCATTCTCGTGGCTCTTCACTGAGCCCGCTCCAATTTATCAACATCCTTCTTGAATTGCGGGCACCAGAACTGGACACAGGATGGAAGAACCTCTCCACTCCTACTCGAGATTCCTGTTTATGTACCCCAGGATCACACTGGGAGATCACATTCAGCTGATTATCCATCACAACCCCCACATTTTCTTCAGTCACTGTTTCCCAGGATAGAGTCCCTCAGCCTGTCAGTAGGCCTGCATTCTTCGCTCCCAGATGCATACATTTACATTTAACCATATTCAAAAAACCCATAGTTTGCGTGTGCCCAGTTTACCAAAATATCTAGAACACTCTCAAACGGTGACCTGTCCTCTTCATTATTTTCCACTCCCTCAATTCTTGTGTGTCATCTGTAAGCTCTGTGAATGATGATTTTATGTTTTCTTCCAGGTCATTGATAAAGATGTTAAATAGCACAGGGCCAAGAACCGATCCCTGCAGGACCCTGTTGGTAACATGCCCACTCGATGACGATTCCCTGTTTTAAGTGACATTTTGAGACCCACCAGCTAGGCAGTTTTTAATCCATGTAATGTGGCCAACACCCAAATGCACAGTCCTATGGGTTGCACTATATCCCCCACTATCCACTAATGCTTTGATGGGCTCCATCATTGTAGTATCTGATCACCTCTGTTTCCTGAGACTGGACAGGCTACATCTCAGATTTCAATAACCACAGCTTTAATGATCTTCTCTCTAGTGTGCCCTTCTGAGCAACCCTCCTCGACAAAATGGGAAATACAATTTTGACCTCATCTGACACACGTTGCTCCAAGGGGGGCCCCGTGGTTCTCATATTACCCCAAACAACCCAGGCACAAAAGAGAAAAAACTCTTGGCATTCTCCTTAATGAGAGACTTTGAATACCCGCAACCTGAGAGCTGTTCAACCTCTCGTCACCAGAGGCTGCACGTGTGCTGAATTCCAGGCATGCATGACATCCCAGGAAATCTCAGCTTCCAGCCTCAACGGGCTGCAGCAGGTGACAAGAGCAACCGGTGAGAAACAAGAGGCTGATACGATACGTTTTCAAACCCGTTCAATGAGATGTGCTATAAGGAACAAATAGCTAGAGAACTCCAAACAAGAAGCTTAACTTGTGTTGAAAAAGAGCAAAAGAACTAGCAACTTTTTATATAAATCTGAATTATTCACGAGTATGTAAACGAGAAGGCTTCTTTTGCCTGTAAAATATTAATCACAAGAAAACTCCACAATATACAGTGACGTTACTCCTACATGTTATCAATTATAGGGCAAGTTTATGTTTATTAAAGGAGGCAGAGGGTTTTAGTGTTTCAAGAATGGAAACCTGGTCCATTATTGGCTCAGGTTAACATTTTAAATTCCTGGCACCATCGGTATGAAAAACAGAAGTGGGGGCTGGTCTACACAACTGCTTAAGTCAATGTAACTTATGTTGCTCGGGGGTGTGAAAATGACACCTCCCTTAAAGACGTAAGTTACATTGACAAAGTGGTGTCCACACCGCGCGATGTCAGCAGGAGATGCTCTCCTATCGGCATAGCGCATCTTCTCCAGACATGCTACAGTGGTGCAGATGTGCCGATGTAGCCCGGTGGCATGGACTTGCCCTGGCACTCTGTTCACTAATGTTTCCTTTTTAAATTAAAAGGGACCCATCTCCAGGATGTTAGGGCTTAGAGTGAAGTCTACCAGCTGTGTTTTGGCGTACAGGTTCGAGCATGTTGGGCAATCACTCTGCTCGGCCGGTGCTTTGCCCCAATGAGAAGGCAGCGTATTGAAAGAGTACACGACTCCTCCACTCTGAGTGAGCCATAGAGACGGAGTCTCTGATACGGATTTCCCCACATTCCTGCCTGCTCACCAGCATGGGGCAGACAAAGCAGGGAATGGTGTGATACACTTGCACCCATAGGGAAATCTGGTAACTGAATTTGTGGAATTTTTAAAAACCCGTGAATTTTAGGACCATGAACCTGGACAGTACAGCTCCTTTAACAACATCATTTCTTGAGACCATGTCTTTCCTACATTCTTGGATGATAAAACACAACAAGTCTTCCTCAACTCAAGAAAACAATTTTGAAAGGGGTTTTAGCTGAGCCTTTTAACACAAGGGCTAGCAGTTCCGCATGATGTAAAAAAATATATAGGCAATGCATATCAACAACTGTTCTTGAAGCGGTAACTTTCTACGGCTGTTCCCTGCAGGATTCCCTCTAAAAATCAGATATATATCTCGATGGGATAGTTCCCTGTATAAATTTCAATAAATAACCCTGGCGTTGAAAGCAGATTCATTCCAAGTGTGTGCACTTATTTTTATCATTGCTGGAATGTGGCCAACCTGTACTTGGCATTTTGATGAGTTTGCAAATGCCTGTATGGACCACAATACCAAAGCATCTCAGAGACACCCTGCTGATCTTTTGAACAGGGGCCCTCCCGGGTAAGCAATGAGGTGTATCTCCATTTTAATTTCAAAGCAGCAGTGGGAAGACTGCATTACCTCATTCTTCATTCATTCCTAAAATGTATCTTTAAGTGACACTCTTTCCATGCCAAGCACTACCTCCAGTGACACAGAGAAAAGGAAAAGTATCTATGACTCTGGGAATTTAATTTAAAACACCCAAAACCCTTGTCCTAGAGTTGCAGCTTCTCCAATTACTTTATTTCCATAAAGGAACTGTCTTTACCTAAGGTGCTTCTCTCTATTCCTCCACCCTCAAAGGAGCAGATACCAACCCTCAAGAAGAACAGGAGGACTTGTGGCACCTTAGAGACTAACAAATTTATTAGAGCATAAGCTTTCGTGGACTACAGTCCACTTCTTCGGATGCATACCCTCAAGAGAGATTTGGGGTTTCACTTCTACCTTCCTCTTCCCGTGCTGGCCCTCTCTGGCTTTTATCTCACTCAGCACCTGGCCCCTGTTGGCTAGCTGTGTATTAGGGCAGGCAGTCGGTCTGCTGCAGCTTCCTCCACAGCACAGCTGACAAACTCCTGTACACGCTAGCTCTAGCTCGAAACCTCTTCTTGGAATCCGGCACCCCCTCCCCCGGCTGCTAACTTTAATACCTTGAGATCTCAACTGCTGCATCCCCCCCGCAGCCCCCATCTCTCTTATCCAGATTGCCTACTTACTGCCAGAGAAAGTGTCAGTTTTATTAAAAGGCAGAGTGGAGGCCTTGAGAGGCCAAGCTCCTGTTCTTTCAGAATATGATATTTGAAATTTTTCATTTTGTTTTGGGAGTGCTGGGGGAACGGATGGGAGGGAATGAGCTGGCAAGCACATGCTGTTTTCTCTTCCCTGGGATGAAAAGAATAGAGCCATTCACGAGGTAAGAGTGAATACATGTATTTCGTATCTGAATCAACAAACCCCACAGAGCCAACTAAGGTGAAAAGTGGGTGGAGGGGAGACAGAAAAGGTTTCCTACTCCACCCTTCTCTCCACGCACACAGAGCCGACAAGGCTAGAAAATCAAGAGGATGCTGAAGTTTATACGCTTTCAAGGATTTATACAATCCCTTCTGAGTTTATTTCATCCCCACCATTTGATTCTGATGCCTGGACTTTGTCTGCTCACCTGTGAATACTCCCAAAGGAAATCCCCTTTCCTCACTCACTTTCACAACCTGAGCTCCTGTTGGCACATGGAGAGAGGTGATGTGTGGAAATGTCAATACTAACTGTAGAACGTTATTCAAAGGAACTCCATTGTGTACCTCCTCTTAACCAGAAGCCTTCTGCCTCTCTAGGGTGTGCTGAACTGAAAAATAACTAATTGGATTTTAAATGTCTAGCCATTCTAGGCCATTCCTATTTTGGAACAACACAGCCTTGCCTGGAAATAACAAAAGATGTGAATTAAAATTATTAATTTTAATAGTTATTTTGGCGCAACTTTGTCCTCTTTTCACACCAGCATTTTAAGGAGGCTCCAGGGCCAATCTAGACACAAACAAGAAGCTGTGGCCTCGTGCCCTCTAGGTAGTTACTTAGCACCTTTGCTGCCATTGGGCTTTCATTAGTTTTATTTATGTTATTGTAGTGCCTAAAAGCCCCATTCATGGACCAAGATCCTATTGTGCTTGGCGGTGTACAGACAGAGAACAAAACGATGATCCCCTCGTGATGCTGGCAAACCAGGTGCCAGGACTTGCCCAGGCTTTAGGCCTCAGTCAAGCACAGACAAATTCCTTGCTGTAAACCAGTGTTTCCCCAGTGTGTTGGGGGTTGTGTACACTTACAGCACTTCAGAGGTGCCACTGTAGTGCTTCGTGAAGACACTACCTATGCCAATGGGAGAGTGTCTCCAGTCGGTGTATGTACTCCACCTCCCTGAGGGGCAGGAACTATGTTGGTGGGAGAAGCCCTCCCATCGACACAGCATCGTCCACAGTGGGAGCTCAGTTGGTCTAACTGCATCACTCAGGGGTGTGGATTTTCCACATTCCTGAGCAACAAAGTCATTCCAACGTACGTTTGTAGCGTAGAGCAGGGCTTAGTATGGTTAAGTTGGGTATTGAACTTATAATAATGTGTTTAGACTTTATGAAATGCTTGTACGTTGCTGCATGCAATAATCTCACTTACAATATCTTTATCACATGCTATAAAGTAATATTTAAGTTTTTGCTTTATAACTGTAAAAAGTGTTTGCCCTGAACCGGTCAGCCTGTCAGAAGGGATCATCTCTTGCCCATCAGGGAGGACAATCAAAACTAAATGGGCCACTGTGGAACATTACAATACAAAGACTTTTCTAATTGCCCCAGCACAGGCTGTGTGCAAAAGGGCTCATCCCATCAGCTTGAATTCTGAAAGAAGGAAATAAAGATAGTGAACAAGAACATTTTTCAACCTGAGTTAGCCCTAAAAGACATTCAGCATTGACAGATTACTACCGCTTTCCCACCTTTTAAAACCACAAACTGCAACTCGTTTGTGTTTATATGTTTGCCTGCTTTAACCTGTAAATAACTCTCATTTCTTTTTCCTAGTTAATGAAGCCTTAGTTATTTTACGATACGACTGACAAGTGTTGTCTTTGGTGAGAGATTTGACCTGGGGTAAGTGCCTGATCTCTTGGGACTGAGAGTAACCTGAAACTTTTGTGATCTTTGGTGAATGGCAACCACCTATCACTTAGCCCAGCTTGCCCAGGTGGCCAGATAGACTGGAATGCCCAAGGGGACTGTCTGTGACTCCATGGTAAGACTGTTGAGGTGCTTCAGGAGTTCATACTTGTTAACGGGTTGGCGAAATTAATTCTAGAATGTCCAACCAGTTTGAGGTGGCTGCCCTGCCTTTTGACAGTCTGCTATAAGGTTGGCACTGCTGTCGTGAACCACTCCAGACAATGTGCCACCTTGCACCAGAGAGCTAACAATCTAAGTACCCCAGCTGTGGCCCATGAAGTCAATGGAATGTAAGGATGTCCCTGGGGCTTTAGCAGAACATGTGCATTTGAGATGGGCGTATCTGGATTGTTTGGCCATCAGACAAATGGTTAAACTCGTACATTTTGGAGAACTCCTTCCACAACAGAGATGGGGAAATCCCTGCTACATTTTCCATTAGGAGAATGCCCGGGAGCTAAACAGTTGTGCTTGTTTTTATTGATTCACAGCTATTTCTGCGCTCTGGACAGAGTGCTGCTTGCATAGCATTGGCAGTATTGATCCTGCATGGGAGTGTCTGGCATTTCCTTAAGCTGATGCCCAGTTACTGAACAGGGAATTCCCTTTAGCCAAGACTTTCTAATTTTAGCCTTTCAATTTGCCAGTGAACGCCTAGCAAAGCCAGGATGCTATTAGTAACACATTAGCTTTGCACAGTCCAATCCCACAGCTCTGTTTCTTGAACAGTCAGACAGAGGGCAAAGGCCCTTAATTAGAGAGCTCTGAATCACGCACACTGATACAACCACTTTTGTTCTGCTAATCGCTACAGACACATTCCTGCCCTTCTCAGCTAACGAATATTAATAGTTAATGAACAGCCTATGAAGATTACGTCAACTTTCACACACACACAGAAATGGTGTTCTGAGGAGTTCGCCATCTGTCTCGCTCTTCAGGGGCTCATTAGAGAGAAGGGATTCATGTCCAACAAACCCCCAGGCTTCCGCAGCCAAAGGCTGGGGAGTTACATACACTTTTATGGAAGGTAAAGGCAGGGCTTGAAATATTTACCAGACATGTACTAGCCAAAGGACTCAACCCACTAGACAGAGCCTGATAACAAAGATGCACCAGCTATTCTCTTTCCCGTCACAGTTTGATATAATGGGTGTGTCATACATTTAACTAACAACACGCACACAAAAATCCCACTGGCTCAATGCGATATCTGTTGTCACCATTTGGAAGCCGTCATTCAAACCCTTTTATTCAAGGATGGTTTGAAACGTTCCTACCGAAGAAGGAGCTTTATGTACTGAAAAGACTACCCACATCTTCCACCTGCAAAAAGCCCCCACACCACAGCAGCCACATTAGATTAACCTGCTGTCCTCTCCACTGGGCACCTTGGTCCATCCAGATAGCATCAAATACTCGTCATTACACTCCCCATTGTTCATTAACTACATATATACAAGACAAGGAATGGGAGGGACAGAAGAAGCAAAGCCTTCCAGCTGACATTCAATGGGATGCCAAGTCTGACTAGAAGGCCCTTCCCACCCCAGCTGCTCATAGGTAAGAGGAAAGAAAGCACTCACCTCCCTGTTTACTTCTGTCAAGATAGATTGAAACCCTTCGGGCCAGACCTGTGAGAAGACAGGGAGTAAGGGGTGATGCTAAGGGTAAAGTGGGTCAGCCAAAGCAAAATAAATCTGAAAGGGTTAGAAAAGCAACTCAAAGTAAAGGAAAAGAACAGCGAAGGGAAAAGCAGCAGCACCAAGTCAAGTACATGCTTCCAACCAGAGGAAAGGCACTGGTTTGGTTTTAATCACAGCAGCCTTTTCCTAGGAAGCCATTAACAAGCTTCAGTCTGTTTGCCAACACCACAGATTTGCTTGGTAAGATTCTCCCTGAAAGTGGACGCTCTCTAGATCCTTTTTATAGTTTGGTTCTTTGGTATAAAATAAAATGCATCTCATTGGAGAGTGACAAATGAAAATCAAAATGACTCATGACAAACATCTGTACAGATCAAACCAAACACACAACATGTCAGGCTTGAGTGCGGCTGAGCAGCAGTATAATGGGTTCTCCCCTGCACCAGACTTCAGTGGATTGCTAATGAACACTCAGTCAGAGAAAATTTACAGATGCTCGTTAGGCAACTCTTAAGTGGGGAATTAGCTGTAGAACGGATTAGTTTTAAACCTTCATAAACCCTGGAGAGCAAAAGACGCTGCAGGGCGGCAGCACATTCACAGGGTATGGCTGTGTTTAAATACTTGTTGAGACCCCTGCTTATGTCTTGCATATGGACTCAATGTGTTCGGAAAGCGATCCTGGTAACAGGAAGATATCATACAGAGCCTTTGTTGGGAGTCCCACTCTGATTCTCTTTGCTAGTCCGGACAAAGGAAAACAATGCAGGCTTATGCAAGTGGTATACCGGAGGAACTGGGAGGGGAACACAACACTTAAGTAGATGTAATTAGATGGATTCAAGGCAGCTGGTTGTGTTTCCACACACTCCTCTGAGTCCCAAAACCTGAGTTTTAAAAGAGCTGAGATGCTAAGATTGGAGGTGGCAGTTTATGTTCCATTCTAGGGTTTATCTTGAAGGAACAATGTGAAAGTTGCAATTTCACTCATGGGAAGTGTTTGCACCATTTCTTGTCTTCAGAGACATAGCTGTGCGGCTACATGACACGCACTGTTGGGCCAGACCGTGAAAGTTCTGAGTGAAACCTGAGCACAGACAGACAGAGTGCTACTCACCTATCTGACAGCCCTGGGATCTCCAGCCACTCACAAAGCCACTGACTTGCAAACCTCCCTATTTTTATGGTAAACGCTTGAACTCCAATGCCCACAGCAGTAGGACCACATCTTTACAGCAACTCCTACACACTGCTCACTAGAAAATGCTCCAAGTTTTCCTTAAATGCCACATCAGTTTTGCACTTGCAGATCTCATTTTTGCCTAGTTCAAAACATTAGGCTAACAACAACATGCGCTTTGCCTCTTTTTCAGACTTCATTCTCTGGCTGGGGACTTAGGGATTGTCCACACAAGAAATTTGCATTGTTTTAACCAATGGTGTGAACCCAAATTGGTGCAACCCCCTGATTAGACACTTTTATTTTGGTTTAAGAGCAGCCCCCCCCCATTTCAGCTTAAATGGCTGGGTAAAAGGATCAAAATAAGAATCTCTCAAACCAGAATAAAAGCGTCAACACTGAGGGTTGCACCAGTTTAACTAAATCTGTTTAAAACCAATTTACATTAAACTGATGCAACTTTCCTATGTGGTTATGGCCTCACTTTGGTTCAAGCATCTCAGCCAGGTGAGGAACTGATGGACCCTAAGCAAGACTACTTTGCCGTGGTGATATAAATTATTGCGCTAAAGCAGGGGTGGGCAAACTTTTTGGCCCGAGGGCCACATCTGGGTATGGAAATTGTTTGGCAGGCCATGAATGCTCACAAAATTGGGGTTCGGATGTGTGTGTGGAGGCTCTGGCTGGGGGTGCGGGCTCCGGGGTGGGGCCAGAAATGAGGAGTTCCAGGTGCGGGAGGGGGCTCCAGGCTGGGACCGAGGGGCTCGAGAGGGTGGGAGGGGGATCAGTACTGGGGCAAGGGGTTGGGATGTGGGGAGAGGCTCAGAGGGTGCAGGCTTTGGGTGGCCTCAAGTGGCTCCTGGAAGCAGCGGCATGTCACCGCTCCGGCTCCTACACGGAGGTGCAGCCAGGCGGCTCTTCTGTGAGCTGCCCCGTCTGCAGGTGCCACCCCTGCAGCTCCCATTTGCTGTGATTCCTGGCCAATGGGAGTTGCAGGGGCAGTGCTTGGGGCGGAGGCAGCATGCAGAGCAGAACCCCCTGGCTGCCCCTACGCGTAGGAGCCGGAGGTGGGACATGCTGCTGCTTCTGGGAGCCGCGCAGAGTGGTCCCCAACCCTGCTCCCCGGCTGGAGCGGGACAAGCCCCAGACCCCGCTCCCCAGCAGGAGCTCGAGGGCCGGATTGAAATGGCTGGTGTGCCGGATGCGGCCCACAGTTTGCGTATCCCTGCGCTAAAGCCATGGAACTCCCATCACTTAAAACACCCTGCTGATGCCTTTCAGACCCCTGTAGGAAGTACCCTGGTTTCTCTATTAAGCGCTATGTGTACTCTTCCTTTCCCCACTCTAGCCTGTTCTTCACAAATGAGAGAATTGCATGGAAAGGGGTTGTGTTTCTTAACTTCTCATCTATTCCTGATGCTTACGCCCATGCAAAGTCAGCATCCTGGTTGCTGTGGAGAAGACGATCAAGTCACAGAGGAAGGATTCTGACACTGGGGGTGTGGATGAAAGGAGAGGAAGATCAACAGCAGGAGTAGCTGAACTCCAGTAAAACTCCTGGTTTCATGTAAACATCCTTAGTAAAAAAAGAGGGAAGTGAGGCACAGAAAATTGAGAATGTGAACATAACCGCTTCAGCGCCGGACTGTAACCTGGGTATCTGCAGCAAAAGCGAGCTCTTCAATCGAGAATCTCATTTCCCAGGGAATCATTTCATGTGGCTCTTTTGAAATGAATGAGTTTATTTCTCTCCCCACAAAGAAATCTACATTTCTCTTCTTCTGAATCTAAACCAATCACTCTCTGGTTGAAAAGCAAAGAAAGCAGCAAAGCCTGGACTTGCTGAGACCACAGGAGAGGAAAGGGTGTAGAGGATGCATAAGAGAAAAAGACTCAAAGTTTCAGCACTGCTGTCTTGGCAAGCACAACTTCCCGACACTTGCAACTAAATCAGTTTTTGCTTCTGTTCATCATCTATTCTGCAATGTCAAACATTGCTTCTGTGTACCTTCCTTTTGCTGCTGCTTTCAAGGTCTGCGGAGAGCAAGATGCAAGCCACAAATGCCCTGCCCTGATTAAAGGTGCGTGTAGGTATTGGGGGAGAAAATGGGAGCAAGCCAGAAGGGATTCAGTCTGCATTTGTCAGCATCTCCTGTGAACTCTACTCATTATGCAGCAAGGAGTGGATGATAATGGGAGCCTTGGGGAATTCCTAGAGGCCAGTGATTTGGGAGAGTCCATTACCAGGACAATGGAAATAATATCCTGATTCCTGGGAGGGAAAAGCTTAGGCAGCATCACTCAAAAAGGCTGAGGTTAGGGAAAAAGAAATGGAGAAATGAGAAACCAACCGAATGAGAGTCAAAAGTGCAGCTTGACGTGTATGGCTAGTGAGTTTCTCTCCTCTGCTCCAGAGCAGAAGGAATAGGGAGCCAGGCACTTAACAGCTCAGTGCCTTGGCTCCTTCCTGCTTTTGTCCCTGCAAAGAGCAGGTTTCAATCATGGCAATTTTCACAGCACGCTGCAAACTCCCAGCAGTTTGTAATTAATTACGTGCGTGTATGACAGTGTGGTACAGAACCTGAAGTTACAGCAATCACACTTTCCCCTGACTAGACTACCACAGAGCAGGGACACACTGTGAGGTGTGAAGGAGAGGCACCAGTCCTGAATCCAACAAAGTAGCACAGGTAAAATCCAATGAATAGCTAAAAAGCCATCAAACAAGAGAAGCAGGAAAATGGGGGTGGGTGGGGGTGGGGGATGTTAAAGGGAGACACATGGGAAGTAAGACTGAGCTGTAAAAATTGCTAGCCTTTGGACATGTCTACACAAACATTTAGTTTGCTGCAAGCTTTTATCAAACAAATATCTCCAGCCTTGTAACAAAGGGCATGTCTACTCGAACATTTAGTTTGCAGCAAGCTGGGCTGTGAATCTACCCTGCACTAGCATCCTATTCACAGTTCATGTGGACCCTGCATAAACTGATGGCGCCCATCAGCAAGGTGCACATGGACACTTAGCGGGAGGCCGGCAAGTGTGGGGCAGATTCACACCCAGCTCGCTGTGAATTAAATGTTCACGTACACAAGCCCTTTGTTACATGGGTGGAAATACTTGTTTGACAAGTCACCAAGAACCAAGTACAGGCTCTGATGGTATTACATAGGGTCTAACAGAGTTATACTGGTTTAACACCAGGGAGTTTTCAAGTAAACTATGCCAGACTCCTGAGATGAGCTACACAGGCTGAGAAATGAGAGCTGCCAGAGTTTAAGGCTATAATGGACCATTACGATCATCTAGTCGGACGTCCTGCACAGCGCAGGCCAGAGAATCTCACCCAGTGGTACGTGCATCAAACCCAAAACCGCTGGTTGTGCTACAGCAGATCTTTGTAAAAGACATCCAGCCTTGATTCACAGAATTCAAGTGACAGAGGAGAATTGTCAGACCACTGATGTATCCTCAGGCCTTGGACGGAGAGAGCATCCCCCCCAGTAATACCCTAAGACAGGTTTCACGGTCACCCGGATTAGACTCCTGGTTTCGGCATTGTGCACGGCTGGGTGGCCTTTCCGCATGCAGACTAGTTTGGTATTTTTTAAGTTCCAAGGTGATTTGAGTCTGATTGTGCCACTGTCCTGTACATATCAGATGAGATTGCCCACTCTTCTACCAACTCTCAACCCACAATAAATGACAGGGAGTAAGTGCTAAAATAGAACACAAGCTTAGTGTGGTCATGAGTGCAACGTGCAAAGTTGTGCAAAGGGTGAGCAGCCAATCAAAGGGAAAGAGGAAATAGGTGAGCTATTCATAAAACCCAAATCGGGGAAGACATAACCACCTGCTACAACCAGTTCAGGGTAGGAAAGTGCTCAGTACACCCTTGTTCTACAGTTCTCTCCTCAGGAGCAAAATAAGTTAGCTTAGCTCCATGCAACTCCAGTGGCGCCTCTGATGGACAACGTGGCTGTACTCCTCTATTCCACTGTTGGAGAATTATCCTCCATCTCTACCCTTTTGCACTGCTACTCCCCACCTGGCTACTCTAGTCATACTTAGCTCAGAAGATCTTGTGTTTGAGGTTTATGTGGACAAGGGGAAAAGGAATCCCTGACCAGGGCTTGGTAAGACTCCACTCCAAGGCCCAGAGACTGTTAACAAGGATGTTACTGAAGACTGAAATAGAACAACTTGTCCCACTTTGCCTATCCCTAGAAAAGGTCCCACCAGGGTAAGTTATTTCTACCCCCAGATGGGAATTCAGCACAGACCCACCTCGTGTGGTTGGCAGCATGTCCGACAAGCCCTGCCAGGCAGTCACCATCTCGGGATTCCTTTCAAGGTCTGCAAAGTTCTTCCACACTCTGATAGCACCGTCATCTTGAGGAGCATAGAAAAAAGTCAATGTCACTGCTGGTACAGATGTCACTTTGTTACGTGGGAGCAGATGGAGAAAGGAAAGATAACCTGGAATTGCAATCATGGACTCCTAAATGGAATGAAAATGTCACCTGACCTTCCAGGCCCCTTTCTGAATGATTTCTCCTCCACCTGTTCATTAGGGTTGTTCTTCTCACTAATCTTATGTCCATGCAACCAGGGGATTATTTCACAGGGGACTGCACTGGGAGAGTGAACACCTTAAATTAGTTGTAAATCCTTCTCTTTGAAACAGTTCATTTTCACTAGGACTTATCTCTTTTCTTTCCTTCCTTCCTTTCCATCAATGCTGAGAACCGAAGTACTCTACTAAATACAAAACGCAACCCAGTACGAGAGCTTCACCAAAGCCCACCTTCTTGGCACAAGCCCTTCACACCAGCATCATGTCTCTTCTCGTTTTGTTCCCCCCCAGTGAAGCTTTTTTGTGCTAAAAATCAGTAATTTGAAAGAGAAATGTCCTAGAGGTCTCAGAATCCCTCTCACACATTTCTTAATTATGCCATAATTGCACACTTCAGCACTGACTTTGAACAACAATTGAAAACACTCAGACTGTCAGATTTACAACAGTTCCCTGGAAGAAGTAAATCCCTCGCACAGCTCCAGAGGCCGACGAATGGAAAAAGCAGTACTTTGTGCTATCCTACAATAGGGCAATCTACAGAAGTTCTTTTCCCAGGTGATTTGTCAGGGACAGGGAAGAGACTTGCAGAGAAATTTGGAGCCATTTGAGAAATTATAATGTAAAAAAATATACCGGCAGGCCATGCCCACTCTACAGCTAAACCTGTGTTAGTAACAATATTTGACAGCATAGTTGTAGCATGGTTTCCCTGTCTGCTGTGGACAGGATTTCCTTCCCATTAAAAACAGTGCTGACTGAAATTGTGTTGCCTCCACGGGTCACCTATACAATAAGGTTGTAACATGGTTTGTAACTGTGTTGGGCGAGGACTCAAAACCATTCATCAAATGAATCAGGCGGCAATTGTGATTGAAAATGATACCAAGAAGTGTTTAGTGCATCAAGTTCAACTCAAAACAGTTAAATTATTCAAACCTGCTAGCCATAAACTTCTCCCAGGAGCCTCCCAGGCCTGGAATTCCCATGGAAGGGTGACTGGACCAGCCCCATAAAGGAGAGGGGAGGGCTCAGAACATCTCACATGCATCTGAAGCTCGGAAATGATTCCTCCTCTCTCTTGCCCTTTGACCATTTGGTGACTGAGGCTGAACTCACCTGTGGCAGTCAGGAGCAGAGAGCAGTCTTGTCCATTCAGGTATTCCATTGCTGTGATCCTGGTGTAGCGAGGGTTCCCATTGTGGAAATAGTCCAGTTTCTCCCCCTTCTCCCAATCCCAAAAACTGGGGAAGGTAGCGGAATATCAGGTCAGATCTGCATTCACTGCACAAGCCATAAGAAGCAGCTTTCCCACTAAAGGTTACGTGCACTGGGTACCAATTTAATTTGTTTTTCTCCTTAAGAGTATTGAGTGTCTCTTTATTAAAGCCTTTCTATAACATCTCCGGCTTCTGCAGAGGAAGTAATAAGATTAATATCCTAACCTGTTACAAATCTAGTTATAATGAGGATCCCTCTACCTACTGACACAAAAGGCCACCTTATTTGTTTAACACAGGAGAGATGCAGACTTGTTCAGCCCGAGGCGGGGGGAGTTATGTGTTGCTCTGGACAATACTAGCAACAATGCTGCGAGGCTGCAGAAAGAGCCTTACCCGACCCATCTCAGCTGGAAGGAGAGTAGCTATGGAAGTGGATGGGGGAGAAAATGAGGACAAGCATATCATCCCCTCAACAAAGAATTCAGAGCACTTGGTATCCATCATTGTGGCTGACAGTCCTTACATGTGCAGTCATGACCCTGGAAGCCAATCCCTCAGGATCAGAAAGGCAGAAACTCTTACCAGATGCTGTCTTTATCAGCTACTGCTATACATGGTGTGAATGGATGGAACTTCACCACGGAAGGAACGCCTGGATTCCTGTTCAGAAAGATTTGATCATCTAGCCGTGAAATACCTGGGGGGGAGGAGACACCGGGAGGGGGGAAATGAGAGAAAACCCAGATTCAGTACCTGGGAATCAAACCACAAAAAGGATATTGCTCTCTACTTTCTGTTCAATCCTCAACCCACCTTCCTATCCTTCTAAGCTTCACACTTGGCCAGTTCCTTTGTCCCACCAGACTTTGTGCTTTTTTCCACACCACCCCTTACTCCCAACTAGCATATGCCAAACCCTCATCATTTTCTGCCTCCCAAAGCCTCCTTAACCATAACCTATCTGGTGATCAGGAGTCCCTTCGGGACGCTGATCTACTGGTCTAGCAAAACTCTTTTGCTTAGCAGCACCACAGACACCTATGGTGCTACATAAACAATAATAGTTTACCGTGCTCTCTCCCTAAACCAGAATCCTTCACTCTTGCCATGTTGCTCAGAGACCTAAAACTGTTGGCCTCTCCCAACTGGCCTATTTGGGGCTGAATCTCTTCCTCACCACCCCTCTAGAGAAGAAAACATGCCACCTAGGAGGAGCCAATGCTGGAGATGCTTAGTCAGTGAGCTCTCTCCAGGACATGGGAGCTCATATCCTCTGTGAGAGTGAAAAGCTGCACAGCTCTTCTCACGGTCTCGCACTCCTGAAATTATAGTTGGGCATCTCTGGCAAATTTTAAACTGGATGCAAGCTTTTCTCTAGCTTAGATAGCAAACGTCAGCACTGATCAGAGCAGTCTAGCGAGTGGGCTGGGTGTTCGTGGGCTCAGATCTCACATCAGGCCTTCAGTTCATATCCACTGCTGACATTGCTGCAATAGAGGGCTGCCAAGTCTAGAAGTGTTGCTGAAATGATCCAGGTCTACATCACTGTTGTAAAATGTTGATGTACCTTTCGTAGGAAAGGGGCCAAATCCTAATGGGAAATGCTCACAAAAGCCTGAAACACTGCCATTCGTTTACACGTCAAGCTGCTAAATATTCTGGGTTCCGGTGTGTGGACTCTGACGATCATTTCACAAAGGTTTTATTTATGCAGGCAGAGTTACACAGTGTGGGACTGTAGCATTTCTGACTTTGGGAATCATCAGCAGGATAATCATGAGTCATTGCAAAATTTCTGAAAACCTAAATGATTACAAGGTGAGAATCCAAATCATTGCCAACGTATGCGGCGATATCCACTCCACCTTAGGTGCTAGTAATAGCACCAAGGGCCGTGGCGGAAATGCAGAATCCTGAGCGGACAGCTTGTCAGCAGATACAGACTTTGAGATAAATCAATGCATTGTAAAACAAACTAAGTCTATTTTAATTTGTTGTTAATATTTGGGATCTTGGGTGTGTGATTTTTACAACTATTTTGCATTTCACTTTCACAGTCTGGAGGACAGAATCTGAACCTGTGCATGACGAGATTCAAGCCCATCAGGCTGACACCAACCCCCCTCCTTTGTACTATCTGTGTTCAGAAAGGGCCCCTGACTCATCCCCTGCACTCTCCTGGTTTATGATATTCTGCTGTGGTAGACACCAGGCCATCCATTGTATAAGACTCAAGCCTGCCAGCCCTTCAGCTGCACATGAGAAACGGAGTCTCAGACAGCATCTTGCTCAGCAGATTAATGTTTCACACTGATCCTCTCCCCGCCAGCATCTCATATGAGAAAAACACCCAATGGTGAGAGCATCTCCTGAACACGCAGCCACACACAGAACCACAGTGTAGGGGAATGACACAGATTCAACCCCCACTACTCACTGGCTAAGCAAGCTACAGAATGAGTAATAATATCAGGTCTCATCATAGCTATGTAAATTCCAGAGGCTGCTTTAGTGGGCTACGCTGAATTCAAAATACATAAAAAAAAATGCTAGCCTGACTGCCACTTTGCAAATGCATGAAGAGTTATAAATAAGCAAGATTAGCTTTCAGCAGAGCACTAAATATATGTTAATGAAATATGAATCCAAGGCATGTTAGAGGAACAGCCGTGAGTGCAAATGAGGCTGTACATAAAAATGCTAAAAAATATAATGGGATACGAGGCATAAACAATCATCTCTGGAGCTCGGTGGAGTGGGGGAATTCTGGAGTCATTCAGATGCCTGCTAAACATCAAGAGGACAAGAATCATTCACCTTTGCAAAACAAGCTGATTTGGCATGACTGTAACCTGAGTAGCATTTGATACACATCAAAAACCCTGACTGTGCCCTTTAGGCCAGGTGGGGACTCTGAAGTTTAACCTGCCATCCCTTGAAAAATGTAACTCACAATATCATCAGAACTTGACAGGACAGGAAGGAAAGGCCAAAACAGTAAATCAATAGTATCTGTTAAGGGCCTCTAAATTATCCATTTTGTGTTGGACACTTTAATACTTGCGGACAAGCCATCTCTGACTGGCAGAGCTACTGAAAAGCCCAGCTGTTGACTTTCCAGGCCAAGGCTTCAGGGTAAACACATGCATTTAAAATTGTGAACTTTGTCAATTCTTTTAAGCAGGAAAACCCCTTCTTATGACAGGTTCTCTCTCTCAAAAATCCCTGGTCTCTTATTCTTTCCCACCCCAAGTTCAAATCAGATGGTTACATAAAATGACGATAATTTTTGGCTGACCCCGCTACAAATGCCTATATTCCTTAGATGATAACATTGCATTTAGGTTTTCAAAAGGGAAGGAGAACGTCTACACTCACCACAAGCAGGTCAATCCCCTGAGCAGGAGTAATTACTAGCAGTAAATGAAGCCCTGTAAGCTTCAAGATAAATCACCTCTAGGGAAACACTTCACAGTTCAACAAGCTCCTATTCCCCTAATGGGACCCATGAAAAAGGCCAGTGATTAGTTAAACACGCTGGTCTAACAAAGGCTTTGTATAGTTTATTGTTATTTACTGTTTGTGTTACAGGAGTGCTTAGAGGCCCCAGCTGTAGCGGGAGATTTTGGCAAACCAGTAAAGTGCCTGAAACCACTATGGCTTATTGCTAAAAGCAGCCAAGTCAGCAGGCCATAAAGTGGCCACGTAGCAAACTCAGCCTGACCAAGGCAGGAGGGGAGGGAGTTTTGGGTGCCACAGAAAGGGCAGCTTGACCCCGCGTCCTTCCTGATAAGAATTGTGTTGAAGTTGCTGATACATGCATTTTAGAAGAGAGGAATGTCTATTGGGGCCTCAAGGCTGCAAATTCTGGGAAAACCCCACACCTGGTTAATCAATCAGAAGGAAGCCTCTTGCTTCACCATTGAAACTACTTGCTTAACAAGTTTTCTTTAAGGGACATGGCAGTCTATTACTAATGTATAAATAAGGGGGAAAAGTTTGAGGTGGGGGGACTCTTCAGGACTGGACTCTCCCTCTGGATGCATCTTGTGTTCCCCACCAGCACATGGGCTGCCGCTGTGCCACTCGATAGTCACACTCAGCTTCGGTAATTATCAAGGGTTGGGGGTGTTTTACTAACTTGTTGCGGACGTAAGTGCTTAAGACTAAGTAAAGTTTAGCTTTAAGCGAAAGCACTCTCGTGTTGTCCTGTCTGTGCCAGCCAACTATCGGTTGGACGCCTGTGTCTCCCCTGATTTATTTCCTGACCAGGGCTGGCTCCAGGGTTTTTGCCGCCCCAAGCGGCGTTAAAAAAAAAAAAAAGCCGCGATCTGTGGCGGGAGGTCCTTGGCTCCGAGCGGGAGTGAGGGACCGTCCGCCGAATTGCCGCCGAATAGTTGGACCTGCCGCCCCTCTCCGGAGTGGCCGCCCCAAGCACCTGCTTGGCAAGCTGGTGCCTGGAGCCGGCCCTGTTCTTGACACCACCTCGCATAGAGTAAAAGTTACTAAGAGCTTTGGGCTGAAAGAACCCTGGGTAACACAGCTAAGCCCAGTGGGCGGGGGGAAGAAGGGGACATAATATTAGCTGTGGTACATGAGAAAAGTGTCTGAGAAGTAGAGAGCTCACCCTTCTGGATGATCTTCTGTGCTTGCTTTCGGACACGGGTGTTGCGTAGAAACCGCCATTCCCTCTCTTTGCGGATCTGGCTCTCCAAATCATGCTCTTCTGGAATCTTCCAATAAATGAATACATTAATAAAACAAAACCAGAGTAGCTGTAACTATCCAAACCTAACACACACACACACACACACACCCTCTACATCCAGCTGCTGACAGGAAATGGAAAGAGCACATAGGACCGTATGATTTGGATCGGACTCTTCTCCTTGTTAGTAATCTTTTCCCTTTGTCCCTCTCCTTGACAGGTGTCCTGTATTTTGTCTCATCTTATTTATTTTTATTAGAATGGTAGCAATTACACTCTCTGAGGAGAGAAACGAAGCAGGTCTCTGCCGGCAGACTGTCTTTCACTGGGAATACCACAGTGAAGGCAGGGAACTGGTTAGCCTGGAAACACCTGGTCAGAAAGAGGAGAGACGCAGATTGCCACCCGAGAGAGCGGATGGCCAGGGACTTGGAAGCCTGAGAGTGGATGTTGTTGTTGGACCACAATGGGGAAATATAAGTGCAGTTTCCTTACATTATAACACCAGGTAGCCCCTGCAATGAACCCATAGACAAATTGCACCTTACAAAACTATCCCAGAGCCAACCCAACTACTTTCCTCTGTCTAAATACAATATAGCTTATTTTGCAACTCATCAAAGCATCATAAAACATTTCAGAGCAATGTATAAAGAAAGAATGGAGCTCTTGCATAGGCAGAAAGTTAAAAACTTGTATTAGAATCTTCCTTTCATTGTCTAGAACTGACAAGAGGTGAAAGATCATATTAAGTATTTTATTTTTAAATCTCAAGGTTTTCAGGTTATCAATGCAACACTGACTGACAAACAGAAGGAGTGTTTTAGCTTCTCTTACTGGAACACGACAGCTTGCAAGGAAATGCTGGAACCCCTTATCTTCTCATCTTAATTACACACCAATAGAGCTGGGCTGGAAATGGTTTTCCTGTCCCAGGAACATTTTTGAGATTGCCATTTCTCCCCCCTTCTGCATAGGCACAACACCGAGATCTTTTGTCGTTTTTCTTTTTCAACAAACAAAACACACCTCGAGCCAGGCTGCACCCCAGAGGAGCCAAGAGCCCAGTAGTTAAGACACACGCTTGGAATGTGGGAGACCCAGCTGCAATTCCCTGCTCTGCCTGCGTCAGACCAGAGGCTAGAACCTGGGTCTTCCATATCCCAGGAGAGTGGCCTGACCATGGAATGGTTGGCTATTCTGGAGTATTTCTCTCTCTCTCTCTCTTTCTTTCTGACCAGAAATGATTTATAAGCCTTACCTGTCAAAAGTTTCACTGAAACTGGGGGGAAGAATAGCTCAGTGGTTTGAGCATTGGCCTGCTAAACCCAGGTTTGTGAGTTCAATCCTTGAGGGGGCCACTTAGGGATCTGGGGCAAAATCAGTACTTGGTCCTGCTAGTGAAGGCAGGGGGCTGGACTCGATGACTTTCAGGGTCCCTTCCAGTTCTAGGAGATAGGATACCTTCCCACAAGAAGTTTCAGTTTTGTCAAATCGGCAATTTCTAACAAAAACCATTTTGAGGGAAAATCCCACACCAGCTCGAGACACAAATCCCTCAGTCTGAAAAACTTTGGGGCAGCTGAAATAAGATATACTCAATATCATACAACTGGGTCCTATTTTGCAACCCCTCCTCACACTGAGTAGCTCTGAGGTTCATAGGACCAAGTACTAACCAGCACAGTGAGGCCCACAGGCATAAAAAGGGCTGGAAGAGACAGCAGGTGGTCACCCAGTACATCCCTGCGCGATGAGGCAGGATTAATTATACCTAGACTGTCCCTGACAGATGTTTTCTAACCTGTTCTTAAAAACCTCTAGTGATGGAGATTCCATGACCCTCCTAGGTCAACTGATTAACTATACTTACAGCTAGAAAGCTGACCTGATATTTAACCTAAATATGCCTTGCTGCAAACTAAGCTGATTACTTCTTGTCCTATGGTGGAAACAGAGAACAACTGATCACCATCCTCTTTATAACAACCTTTTACATATTTGAAAACTTAGCATGTATCCTCCAAGTCTGTCTTCTCTAGACAAAACATGGCCCATTTTTCAACCTTTCTTCATAATTATTCCAGTGGAGTAACCAGAATCTTTGCAGGCTTGAGTGAAATGTTGAATTTATCTCTGTCAGGTCTAAGTTAGAAATTTTTGCGGGTCTAGTAATGTCACACTATGCGCGAGGGGTGTGATTCCCCGGCTTGTGTACACCTCCCAGCAGAAGCTCTGATCCAGATAGCATGAGCATAAATAGAAGGGTAGCAGCAGTGAGGGCCTGGCAGAGCGGTGCCGAGTACAAACCCACCCGTTTCAGGTGGCTCACGACACTGCTATTCCTACGGACGCTCGGGATGAGAGCCAGTGCGAGTAAGCATACACAAGCAGGGGAATCACACTCCTAGCACACAGTGCGGGCACAGCCTTTGGGAGGCAACGTCTTCTGTGACGTTTTTATACTGGCAAAAGCTCTAACAGAGATGTAGTTGTAACTTATACCAATTCTTTGAGCACAACAAGCTATCCTGGCAAAACACTTTTTTGCCCAGTACACACTGTGTCTACACTAGGAAGGCTTGTTGATGCTGCAGTGAGCTTTATTGGGTTGTGTATTTTTAAATACGAATAAGCTAAAGCACCTTTGAATTTAAAGGCACAAGAAATTCCTTTTATGAAAATACCAATGAACGACGCACTAAAGCTTTTATTCAGAACTGCGATATTAAAACAGTAAATACAGCAGGTAAAGGGCTTTGTCCCTTTCAAAATTTCCTTTCTTCCCATCCTCCTCTTAAAAACCATTGTCCACAGCAAGGGAGAGATTCAATAAAGATGAAGACTGGGGTGACCAGCAAGCCGTGTGCACTGCCATATGGGAGTCCCTGACGCGACACGAGTTCTGGTCCGTGTGTTACAGGGGCAGCAGACCCAGCTGCTGGGGCTAAGAGTGTCCCTCTCTTTCAGAGCTCTAGAACAGAGCTCTGCAGCCCGGCGATCGCGAGAGAGCCTCAGGAGGGGATTGGGGGCAGGCAGGCCCCTTCCGCACAGGCATTGTGGAAGAAACAAGTGAAAGGGACAAAGATGATTTTTTGGCCATTTGATGCATCCTGGCTCACAAAAGTTTGAGAACCACTGCTCCAGAACACCCCTCTGGGCAATTAAAAAGCTGCGACAGGGGCTCTGAGGAGAGTTACACCCAGTGTATGTCAATGAAAAGGATAATTGCTGCTCAGGAAGGGTATTTCTTGGGAGGGGGAGCAGGAGGAGGGGTAAGCCCTCCCAGACCCACCATTTTTTTCCTAATGAAAAAGAACTTAAATAGCCTGACATTACTATGCACACTGTGTTCAAAACATCCCCCACATTGGAAAGGACTCATAACAACGATGATTGGGCTGGATTGCCTTTTCTTTTTTTAAAAAAACACCCAAGATTCATTTTACAGCAATCTAGGGTTTATTAGAAAGGAAATGACAAATGACCAAGAATGCAAAGCAATAAACAAACCCAGGATAAAATGCATCAAAGCATATTCAAGAGCAGAGATATTACACTTTAATGAAAAT